TTTTTCAAGCTTTTCACAGCCTGTGCAATTTCATCTACAGAGATAGTAATATCCGTACGCTTCTGCTCTACAGGCGAGTCCTCCTGCTGTTGCGCGGGGTTAAGGAGTTCCTCGAAGTACTCCCACCATCGCCGATGAATGTCATCATCCTTTGTAAGAGGGTGTCCAGATCTGTCCTTCAAGACTCTGAGACTGCCCGTCTTTTCAGATCGGAGCCGGCGGATGGTCTGCCAGAATGCTTCGTTTGCCGTGTGGAAATTCGACCGCAACACCTCACCGTACTTCTCCCAGTAATTAGCTTTGGCTTTTGCCACCGCTTTGGATTGAATTAGCATATAAGTAGAAATAAACAAATCACAAAAGAAGTGACCATAGCTGGACGAAGTAAAACAGTTTTTAGCAAATCTTCATTATATCACAAACACATGAGCCACAGAAGTACGAAATCAAGAGGTAAAATGATATCTCTGCCTTCCATAGTCATATTATCATTAGGAATTTACAACAAGGCTTATATTGTCAATCTGTCGCAAAACGCTGGCTCACCCTTCGTGATAGATTTTTGTAAATAGAGTAATATCTTTAACCAGTGCGTAACCTTGGATTGTTGTAAGTGTTGGGAAAAAATATGGCTTGGGTGTTAAACTTTTGCTTTGAGGCGGGCCTCGAATTAATATTTAGTTTCTGTAGCGATGAAGCTGGGATTGAATTTGGTTTTAGGCATAGTTAAAATATTGATCGAGATGAAGCTTAGGCTGAACTGGATCTTGAGTTGAAATGAAGTTTTAATTGAAGCCTTTCTCTGTTCCGGACAAGATTAGACTTGTGCCGAAATGTTGCTTTGTTCGGATCCTTGGGTCAAAGACAAGGTTTGATTGGGAATCAATATTTAGATTGCTTATAATTTACTTTGGTCGAGATATAACTTGGTGGAGTGAAATAGTGCTGTGTAAAGACGGAACTCGGTTAGAGAAAAGTCTTTGACGTTGTTGAAGACAGTGCCTTGACAGAGTAAGAATTTGGATAAATGAGAATTTTGAAGCAAACGAAGCTTGTTAATACAGGGCTTAAATGAAGCGATGCCATATGTGAATCGAATCTACGGTCATAAAACTTCTTTGGTGGTTATAGGCGATAGTGCTAAAGGTTGGTTCGAAATAAGATTTAGATCCAAGCAAGGCTTGAGTAGAGAAACGTCCCAGATCCAGTCAAATCTTCACGGGGACAGTGTCTTGCATGAGGTTACACCCCTATCGATTAAGTCAGAAGCCATTTCTTCAGGGGTTAAAAATTACTCATTGAGAGCCACATCACGTAATCTGCAATTCAGCTGTTAGAACGTTGAAGGCAGGCTCACGGATCTATACATCTTCCGTAGTTTGTCTATTCAGTTATGGTTTCCTGGTGGTGCTTTAATTTTGCTGGCAAGATAAGGTAGATTTTATCTGGGACACTTCCGTAGTTTTTCTATTTGTTGATGCATTAATTTCTCTTCAGTGCACCTCATGTTATAGATATTCCTCTAGAAATGAATTCGATCACACGCTGGATTTTGGGACATATATACATATATACATATATGTATATATCCTAGGGTATTGTGGCTTTTGGCCTCACAACCATCCACCTCCTGGTGGTCTCACTGCTGCCTGTCCGCGACCGTTTATTTATCACAGCTAACCTCCATATTTGTAGGTCGTACTCCTGTCCGCAACCCTGAAATACGCCAGAGATCAGGAGCTCAACCATATTGGTTTGCTCGGTTAGTATTTGTAATTACATACACCGCAGACTGGCGGAGGCTTGGGTCTTTATTTTTATACAGACGTTGCCAGTATTGTTTGACCAGGAATAAAAATACCGAGCAACGGTAGCTCGCCACTTGAACTTGTATCGCTCACTCCTAGTAACCTATTGTGCAATTAGAACTGTGACCTATTGTAAGAGGATAAATAATTAATTATTGATTATTACTTTATGAACTATCTTGGCGAAATTCTGTATTTGAAAACTACCGTTAATCTCAGCAGTATGTCGATCAAGAATGAATGAGTGCGTGACGAATTGAAACTAATTGCTTTCGCTCTACGAACAAAGATAATGCATGAAAAAGATATCGTGCTATTCACTGTTCATTAGGTCGCCCGTCTGTTTATTGACATCTTCATTAGTAACTCTTAATTGGCTGTTTTTTTACAGATTCTGTCTTTTAGTACATGCATGCATATTAGTATACTGTGTGCATCTTTTGCACGTTTTGCATTCGCTGTACAATACTCATGTAATGAATTAATAAAATCAAATTATACGATATTTCTTTTAGTGCAAAGCATCGAAAGGAATGAAGTCGTTTTTTGACATGATGAACAGCAGTAAAAAGAAGTTGGCCATTTTTGGAGGGGCCTGCACCGAGGTCAACGAACCGGTGGCGATGACGGCCGTCTTCTGGAACATAATACAGGTATGAATATGACGAGCATGGAGATCATGACAGTACACATTTTTCACAGGGTATGTGAAAGGTAAGGAGGTTTAGAAATCTTTAAAATCATAATATTAATGAACGGTTGACTTATGTTGTCGTCTTGGTTTGAAAAGGATATTAATGGCAAATTTATGTCCAAATGTGTCACTGTTTGAGCAATTAATGACCTCCGTCGCCCTTAATTTAAAAGATGGAATATTGCATACAGCATTGACAGTATTATTGCTCCTTCATAGAAAGATCATGGTTGAACCTCAGCTTTCAGACATGAATGAGATGATTACAGCGGCGCTAGTCAGGCTAACCGTGCTTAGTATAATCAGGTCCAGCCTAGTGTTACAACAGGTGTTCGTGGCTATCGATTTTACAGCTTTTCTATTCATATAGATTTCTGTCCCTGGGTATAACTTTCTGTGGGAAAATTTGCTCGGCCCTTAATATAATACTGAATATTAAAAACGAGCTTTATGAAATTATAGAAGGACACATCGAAATCATAATAAATGAAGGCGATAGACGATAACGGCTTTCATCTTTGACAAATGTCATGAAAATAATGAGATTTCTTCTGCGGCTCAGTTGCTGTCACGCGTAACAATCGTTTTAAAAAAGGAACAATAACGACGGTTGAACTGCATACAGCAGCGTTGGCTTTGACTCATTTTTTAAGCATAAGGCCTATATGACAGGATCACGTATAGAATGACTCTGTTCTCTTCTGGGCGCAGATATGGAGATTGGTCAAAAGCAGAAATATTTTCCTCCAGCACTGGAGGTTTTTGTTTGATAGTCGTAAAACTGCAGACATCGTGCAGAACCTACGCGTGCAACATGGAGGAACGAGGTAGTAGCATATTTTTTAAAAATCAGATTGTATCAGGCATATCTTTCTTTCACAGCAGAGTAGTCAAAATGCTGAAAATATTCAAAAGCTGCGAGTACGGGGGTCATCATAAACCAAAAAGGTGATGATCTTATTTCGATGACGGTGTATTACACAGAAAGAGTTCACTTTATACCGTTTGCGAATGTAAAGGGGACAGTGGTATTCCAAAAGCACATGGTTTCTTTCTGGTCGTGCGCACAAGCTGGTCACCTGGTCACTCAGTCGTTTCTTTTTAGATGTTGGCGCAGAAACGTCAGTGCAATGCGGGGTGTCGTGAAGCTCATAAAGTAGTGTGCGAAAAACAGACACTGCTCCTTTGTATTCAATAGTTCTGATATGCGTCGTCGCTCTAAGCCTTCATAATTCTGTTCATAACTTGGTAAAACGCAGATTCAGCCGTGGATGTTTGTGAACGTCCAAAGTTGCGCCTACTTCTGAACAGTTTTCCCGGATTTCTTGTCGGTTACCTTTCGCCATGGCTGTTTAGGACGTCATTTTTTAATGAAGATGAAAATGTATTGATTTGGATGGCCACCGTTTCTCGCCATGTCTTACCTACTTATTTGACAGGAGACATGATTTGAAGTATTTGAGCTGATCCCATGTTATGAGTTATAAAACACGGAAACGGTGTCTTCAACAAACCACGGTTGAGGAGGTTGTGACAGTGACTCCTTGAGCATCGGAGTTGAAGAAAAAAGCGGCAATAAGTTGAAAGTAACGATTTTCCTTCACACGTCGTATGCCCAGGAGACCGCACAGTTTGAAGCAATGCTAAAATTTCTTATCTCTATATCCTCATGTTTTGCGTTTTGCTTTTTTTTCATTGTTCTGTGTCATCCACTTTAGCTCTTTCCTTACATTCTGTAGGTTATTCTGTTTCTGTCATCGTTGTGACTATTTTCCTCAAGTTTGTTTTGTTTCTTGTCACCCTCTTCGTTCATCCAGCGAATGGAGGACAACTTTGGGACGGGGTTTCACATT